ACAGAACTGTTAGAACCCAATACTAAAAACTTGTCAAGAATGTATAACTTGCTGTTGAAATGGAATACTCAAGATGAAATGGTGAAATCTAGTATGATCAAATGGGCACAGGATATAGGGCATGATATTGAGTTTGCTGACTGGGAGCAGTTATGGACCACTGGTGTTAAATTTACGGCATGTAATGCATTAAGAGAAAACATTATGAAAATGATCTACAGGTGGTACATGACTCCGGCTAAGTTAGCAAAGATTTATCATTTGCCCAATAACAAGTGTTGGAAGTGTAATGAAACGGAGGGAACCTTTTATCACCTTTGGTGGACCTGCCCGAAGATTAAGGCTTTCTGGGAAATGATCTATAATGAAATTAAAAAAGTTCTGAAGAGAACCTTTAATAAAAAGCCAGAAGCCTTTCTCCTGGGTATGGTAGGCCAAATGGTGCCAAAGAAGGATAGGACATTTTTTATGTATGCTACAACAGCAGCAAGAATTCTTCTAGCAAAGTATTGGAAGACACAAGATCTACCCACGTTGGAAGAATGGCAGACGAAGGTGATCGATTATATGGGACTGGCAGAGATGACTGGCAGAATCCGAGACCGGGGGAAAGAGGCGGTGGATGAAGACTGGAACAAATTTAAAACTTATCTTAAAAACTGTTGTAATTTGGAAAATTAGAAGACCAGGGTAATAAGAGATAAAGAACTACAGTTGTTTTATTATTTTATGGAAGATAAATTTATGAAATAGAAATAAGTTTAATACGAAAGGGTTGCTGGAGAATCTTGAAATGTGAATGCAGAAAAGGGGTGGTATGGGGAAGTCGTTTTTGGTGTTTGCCTATGTTTTCTATTATGTTTTCTTTTTTATTTATGGAAAATTAATAAAAATTTATTTAAAAAAAAAAAATGCATTGGGCAGGCCCTGATAAACAATCTGCAAGGAAATCAGGATGAATGCTCACTGTCATACAGCCATTGGTAAAGAATCATAGAATTGTAGTGTGGGAAGGTATTATGAGGCTCATCTACTCTAACCCTCTGTAATACAGAAATATTTTGCCCAACGTGGGGCTTGAATCAGTGTCCCTGAGATTAAGGGTTGTATGTTCTACCAACTGAGCTTTAAAATGCTCAGTAAAGACCAGACATAGTCTTAACCAATGTACAGTACAAGCAGATAAAGATGAATGCTGAATAAAAAAGTCATCTGGAAGATCTTATGGCAAGTGCTACTGGATAAAGAATTTGCTCCTACTTCCCAGTTGGCAGGATAAAGAATTTGCTCCTACTTCCCAGGTCAAGTATTAGAAGGATTCAGTATGTGCAAGGTTGTACAACTGACTGGAAGGTCACAGACCCAGATCTGGTCAGAAGCCAATCTATTCAGCAAAAAGGAAGACTACTGCAGGGAAGAAACGAACTGTTCCATCAGAAAACTGCACAGCATGTACAGATCTCATGCAACCAAGAATTACTGTGAATACTAGGACAGATGGGCTTGGCAATTCATACCTCAAATGCCATCCAGAAAAGGGAAGAAGGGATAATCAACTTGAGTGTGCGTATGGAATGAGAGATTTGTTGCAGGCCTTGAAGGGAAGCATTTTTTATTGTTTGCTTTGTTTCAAAAAACTTTTCAAGCTTTTTTTTTTTTTGCCCTTTCCCATCTAGCTGATATTTTTTTAACGATATGAAAATATGTCCTATTTCTGATTCTGATACATGAAATGGTTAGCAGATATAGCTCAGCTTTTGCTGGTACAAATTAACTTTTATTCAGTATTTGCAAAATCATAACAAAACATATTTTCCAGTGCCTTACTGCTTTTTCCATCAGAAGTACAGTCATACCTCAGGTTATAGCCGCTTCAGTTTGCGTTTTTTTGGGTTACAGACCACCGAAACCCAGAAGTACCGGAACAGGTTACTTCTGGGTTTTGGTGGTCGTGCATGCGCAGAAGAGCTAAATCGCGCTTTGCACATGCGTAGAAACACCGAATCACAACCCGCACATGCGCAGACGCGGGTTGCAAACGTGCATCCCACATGGATCACATTCGCAACCCGAGCATCCACTGTACTGTAGTTTGCAACAGTTCTGCAGTATTTGGTTCATTCACACTTTTATTTATTAATCTGTTTTTAGGCATTTATATACAGTGTTCCAGGCCAATCCCAAGGCAGTTTACAATCTTAAAAGACAACCTCATAACCAAAATTTTAAACCAATAGAAACAATTGCAATACAAAGTATTAGAGTAAATATAAATTAAAATGCACCCACCAATTCAGTAACCAGAACAGCTCTCAAGGCCAGTTATCAGCACTCTCACAGAGGCCTGGGTGAGTAATGTGTTTTCAGAAAACACCAAAAACTCAACAAGGTTGGTACCTACCTTATTTTCAGTAGGGCTGTGCATGAACACACACACTAATCCACCCTGTGGCCCCCAGATCAGGGTGATTCAGCCTGCCCTGGAATCCACCCACCTCACACCACATCCTTCTCTGAAACAATCCGAGGGCAGGGCTAAAGGTTTTTAAAACCCAGCTGTAAGATAGTTAGCTACTGCTTTCAGGAAACAGGTACATGATCTACACCTAAGCACAATCTTGCAGACAGTAAGTGTATGCTGATTTCATACATCAATATAAAGTTGAAAATAGTATTGGCCTCCAGAATATTTAAAATGAATCCATCAAGTACTGCAAAATATAACATTATGTAGCATACACACAGAGAGAGAAAGTTATTTCATGATAAACAGAGCAATCCTATCCTTAGGAAGTATGTCCCACTGTGTACAGGATTACAGCCTTAAGCTGTGGTTCTGTGCGAAGAATCATCATGCACATGATTTTAATCGGTAAAATAAACTGAGAAAAGGTGTAGTGAATGGGGCACAGTTGGGAAAATATGATAGGAAAATGAATTTTAAAATAAAATATAATACTAATAAATGAAGATGTACTTCACTGTTGTTTAGGCTCGTATCCATCTGTTAGCTGGTGATGGTCTGCTTGATTATCTCTGAACTCTGCTAAAGATCTGTTTACATTTATGAGCCTGATTAAATGTTTTCCATAGCAATAAGGAAACATTTGATGTGCTCTCAAGTCAGACAAGGTGATCAATTTTAACTATAAAACAAGCAAGCTACTCTAATTTGTTTTTTTTTAAAAAAATTGGTTATCACAGGCTTTAAAGTCAAAATGACTTACTGCTTGTTTTACTGTTGTAAATCAATGTGTTTTAAAGACCAGAGCTGGAAGCACATATATTTTATTTATTTAGTTCTGGCATTTATAGTTTATGGACAGAGGGGGGAAACCCTTGATGCCAGAGAAAGATGCACATAATTAAAGGTAATTTAAGAGAAGGCCTCAAACTGCTGAGTTCCAAATTAAAAACAATGTTTTATTTGTTATTGATAAAGATGTGTTAGGAAGAAAAATCTACTTGGCTCATTTACAGAAGGCTGAAACTTGACATGTTAATTGCTTGACTTTATACTGCATTACCTGTAATCCACAGTCCCAGGTTCCCAAATCCCTTTACTGGCACTTTGGTGTGCCAACAGTCAAAAATTAACAGGGAGGTGAAGGTTCAGCAAGGTTGTAATTATCTGTATTGTGTATTGTCCAGAGAGTAAGTGCAATAAATGTGAGAAGAAAGATAATGCTGGAAAGGACCGGAATCCTCTAGGACCTAGAAAAAGTAAAAGAAATGAAGTGGAAGGGAAAGGAGGAGGTGGGAAATGCTTAAAAGGAAGGAAGCAATCAAAGCTGGTACCAGATTTAAGAGGGCCCTGAACAAGATACTCTTCAGCCCCCTCACATAGCCCTGGTGAGCCTCCTGCAAGACAGACAGTATTGTATGGTGGTAGAGGAATGAACTGAGATAAAGAGTATGAGAATTCTAATCCCCGTTTAGCCCACTGCTGGCTTGGGGGCCAGTAAACCTGCACCCTTGTCACCTGTCTCTTAGCAGCCCTGCAACAGGGGCCTGAGAGGAGGCAGATGGCACAGGGGACGGAATAACTGGACCTACAGAAAAGAGAAAGCAGGAAGCCTAAGAGTGAAGGATTAGAAATTCACTGAATGTAGACAAAATAACACATTCCATTTTCAAGCATCTCTCTTTTGAAAGCAATTTTCCTCTTCAATCGGTTTTCAACGTCCCTGTTTAAATGTCATGATTTGCAGCAGCCCTTTGTAACATGAAAGCATATTTAAATAAAAGTGCTTGGGCTTCTGTGAAAGTAAAATGAGTTGGTCAATTTTCCATCCCTGTGACAACTTTTATTCATTCATTTAAGTGCACATTTCCTTCTAGCAAGATGCATCATGTATGCAAAGATTTGTGGCACAAACAATGTAAGGGTAAAATGCAAGACAAAAATCTTGGAGGCTGGGAGGAAACCAAGGATCATTTACTCCTACCTCCAAGGAAGACTCATTTATATCTAACACCAGAAAGTACTGTCACTCACATTTCTTTGGACACAGAAGACCCTAAGAACAATAGAAAAGTTCCTGTGGATAGTAGTTACAATGAGACGTCTGTGTTAGAAACTGTTTCTTGTCTTGTTGAACAAATATTGACCACATATTAAATTATTATTATCTTTCCCATATTCCCAGTATGGACAAGTAAAAATACAAGCAGCTTGGGAAGTCTTCTGTTTCTGTATAAATACAATATCAATAACAGGCAACTAATCACAATCATTCTTCATTGCAATATTTCACATTTTCTTGTTATTTGTAACAATGTCTTTTAGTGTTTGTTCAACAGACTCTGCCAAATGTTCCGCTGTGTGTTTTGACCATCAGTAACATCTGCACATAAAAGCCTAAATTACTAGAAGGTCTAAATCACTGGTGTTGATGGAACACTGGAGCTCCCTCAAGCACCATTGAAAGCTCTGTGAGCTTTTGGGTGAGGATTCAACCATAAATCTTTACAACATAGCTATGTGGCATAAGGCCTACCTTTTCCCATTGGAAAGAAGCACTTAAATAGACAGGTAATGGTTCTGAGTGTACCTTGCTCCATGGTGATAATATTAACCCAAGGCAATGCAGGCACTGAAAGAAAAGAAAGGAACAAAATAATAAATTGTGTTTCTCTACTTTTGAAGCCATTTTAAACACAATTTGAGGTTAGGTTGCAGGTTGTATATACACACATTAAAAATACTGACATGTTTGCCAACACTTATATTCTATGGCACATCATTTTTCAAATGAAGCTGGAGTTTTTACCACTGCTTTAGCTAGTACTGTTTTGAAAAGTAATTCACACTTGCAACAACACTTTGTGAAATAATCATCTCAACACTGCCAGCTTAGTATATCTATTTCTAGTCTTACAAGCATTACTTTAAGGAAAAAGGTTTCTCAACCTCATGTTTTTGTATCAAAGTTATTTATAACATGGAGATTTTTGAATGCTTTAAAACCAAACTGCAGATTCAAAAACTATCCTATTAATACTCTTTCAGAGTCTAATGACCATTCATTTCAGTTTAGAAACCAGAGTATTTTTATTTTTTACTTTCACCTTTATAAAAGTAGCACAGCATTATATAAGCCAGTAACTGGGCAATAAAAAGTTGCATTGTTTTACAAGCTAGTAATATTTGATTATGACTGAAAAGAGCCTACAAAGATATGCAAAATGATTCTCGTACATACTCTCTCACACCCGTACCCCCCCAAAGTAGGTTTGGTCAATCAGCTAACTACAAATCCACCAAACACTTAACTCACTTACTCCACACTTTACCAGCTTCCACGCAAGAATATCATGGGGGACCGTGTCAAAAGCCTTACTGAAATCAAGCTACACTATGTCCATAGCATTCCCCTGGTGCACCAAGCTTGTAACTCCATCCAGAATAAGAAATGAAATTTGTCTGCCATGACTTGTTTTTGAGAAACCCATGCTGGGTCCTTGTAATAACAGCATCCTTTTCTAAGTGCTCACAGACCAACTGTTTAGCTATCTGTACTAGGACCTTTCATAGCACTGATGTCAAGCTTACGGGTAGGTAGTTACCTGGGTCTTTTCTTTTCCTCTTTTTGAAGATGGGGACTACATTTGTCTGTCTCCAGTCAGAGGCTCTGAGATTCAAAAGCTCCTTTAGTACCCTTAGGTGCAGCTCATCAGGCCCTGGAGATCTGAATTCATTTAAAGTAGTCAGGTGTTCCCCCATCACCTCTTTTCCTATATTGGGCTGCAGTTCCCTCATTGCATCGTTTATTCTGTTATCACCAGGTTGGGCACTGTTTTACTTTGGGGTGAATACAGAGGCAAAGTAGGTGTTGAGCAGTTTCACGTTCTCTCTTTATCTTAGCTGCCGCTCTTGGTGGTTTGTTTAGCCAGACAAAGTTGATCTTAACTCCTGGCAAAGAAGAGAGAGAGTATAGAACTAATATTATTACAAGAGGTATATTAATAAACAAAAATAGTGTTTTAGTCTGTGTATATCTAGTTCTTTCCACTGTTAATCTATACCATGTTAAATCTACTTGCTTATTCATTCCCAATGTGGGTTTGTAAAGTATTATTATATTTTGAAATCTCACATATCCTACCTATTAACAGAAGGCCAATAAATTAATTTGTGGTGAACTAAATTTGTCTGCTTGAGAGGCATTTTTCTAGATGAATAAAATTGATCAATATTCCCACCCATCAGTCAGTGGAGAACAAAAATGGTACACAGGGTATCCCTTAGCTCTTCTGGCTGTGGTCTCCATGACAACACCAAGGGCTTCAGGAAGAAGCCATGCATAGCTTAATGAAGCTATGTTGATAACTGTTACAATTCCTTTCCATACTAAATCTTTAAACATCTCTTCCCAGCAGTTTATAGCATCTGTTGCTGTAGTATTAAAATGCAGAGTACAGTCTAAAGGTGTTTGTAGGAATCTTAAAAGAGATTACATAGCATGAAGCAAGGCTAGGCAACTTCTCCTTTATGAAATGTTCCCTCATACACATTTTTTGTACCCAAAAATCTTATATACCCTAATTCAGCTATGCACACTAGTGTTAGTTCTTGGAGTGGGAGGAAGCACAATGTTGGAGTACATGCTTTGCAGACATAAGGCCATAGAAGGGTAGGGATACAGCCAAAGAAATGAAGGGGGTCAAGTTGTAGTGACAATAACAAAAGATGCTACCATAAGGCAAGAGTCAAATTGAAAGAGCAGCAATTGATATTCAGATGAGCCAAAAGCAAGGCAGCAGTTGCAGGAGAAGTGGTGCATCGGGTGCTTAGTCAGACGGGATGTTCTCATTGCTAAAACTGAGGAGCTACAGTTTTCTGGATCCTGAATTAGCAGAAATTGATTTCTTGGAGACAGCTGAGTGTTCAGTCAGGTGGCAAGGCACACTGTAGCATTAGTGGCACCCAAGGGCTCCAACTATAGGGGGCGGAAGAGGCTTCAGCCCACTGAATATTTCTAGGCAGGGAGCAGAGCCCCCCCCCCCATGGAGGGGGCACCATCCCCCGCCTCCAGTGGGTGAGTGGTGGTCCGCCAGGTGGGAAGCGGAGAGGGCGGTTTTCACCCTCTGTGCCCCCTTGCCACGATCGCCAGAGCGCCTTCCAGGAAGGCACTGGCAATCTTCAAAGGGATGCCTGCGAGTCCTGGCCAGACTGGGGAAGGGGCGTCACGCATGTGGTTTGCCAGGTTTCAGGCAGGCAAACTTTCCCAGCCCTACCCAGAGATGCTGGGTGTTGAACCCGGGACCTTCTGCATGCAAAGCAAATGCTCTACTACTCTAGTGTAGAAAGAACCCTTGAATTATAGAGATCAGGATCAAACTAGATGTTCCACTCCCGATATTTTTTTTCTTTTTCCATTTACAAAAATGGAAGTCGTAGGAATCCAAATCAGGATAGTAGCATTGGGGCTGGGGAGTTTAGCTCTTTTTCATGTGCCATTTTCTCACTGAGTTTACAAGCCCATACATTTATCCGACAAGGACAAATAGAAGATTTGGGTGTGGGTGGGTGGGTGATTTTTGTGGGAAAACAGAGCAGTGGAGAAAAGGGTTAGGTCCTTGTGCCATGATTAGATGAGGAAAGGACATCCGCTTTTGTAAAACCAAAATATGTTGTTGAGATTTCCAGTCATGGAATTTGCACATCATGTCTACTTTGAGCCTTAAGTTTATACCTGAAGTCTCAAAATAAATCAGAGAAAATAAACCTTATAATTATTATCTAGACTTAGCATGTTACTATATTTCAATGATTAGCTCTGGTCAAGTATTCTTTGGCATATACTTTTTTTGAGTTCATTGCCTTTTTTAAAACTGATGGCTAAGTTACTTCAGTTACACAGTTTGGGGTTTGTGTGTTGAGACACTGTTTTCTTTACGCAATGGCCTCTTTAAGAAACAGTACCAGAAAACAATAAATTAGCCACCTTAGCTTCTGTTTCTTGACTTATTGTAGTAAGGTCTTAATATATATAAAAATATCATTTTTCATAATAATCTGCCTTGTCTCTATTTTTATATGTCTTTAGCTTTATTTCTTTTTGCCTTTCTGTTTTGTAGATTTCAGGGAACCTTTCCAAATCTGCATCCATACAGCCTGAGTCAACATTTTCACTCTTGATGCCTCAAGCAAGAGTGGATCATACTGCTCCACAAGGAAACAGAGATGGAAAGATTTGTGTCTGTCAGCAACTTCTTTCCTGTGACTGAATCTACCATGCCGTAAGGATCAGAAATATGTAACGATTTGGAGTCTGAATATGAAGAATCATCGGTGAACATCATTGAAGAATAATCATTTTTGGCCACGAAAATATCACTTTTAAATGAAACGTGAGAGAGAAGAGAAAAAGCATTCCAATCTATTATAATCTAATCATTAAATCCCATCATTTTAAAAGCCCCATAATGAGCAATACAGCGGTACCTCAGGTTAAGAACTTAATTCGTTCTGGAGGTCTGTTCTTAACCTGAAACTGTTCTTAAACTGAGGTACCACTTTAGCTAATGGGGCCTCCCACTGCCGCCGCACGATTTCTGTTCTCATCCTGAAGCAAAGTTCTTAACCTGAGGTAATATTTCTGGGTTAGTGGAGTCTGTAACCTGAAGCGTCTGTAACCCGAGGTACCACTGTATATTGGCTGATATACCCACTGTGACCATACCTGAATGCAGATGTCTTGGCCACAGTTATCCATGATCTGGGAACCTCTATATGTTGCCACTAACTGAAGTGAGTTGGATGGCTAACAGGGAGGCTGTCTAATGTGCTTAATGGTAAATAAGCTGGCCAAGGGACACAGCACCATTCACAAGGTGGCTGCTCCAAGGCTGAGGAGTTTTGTGTCAGCCACCGACAAGAGCAGGCAGCAAGACAAAATCTCCCAACACAAACAGCTTCTGATATGCCCTTTTAGAGCCCTCACAAGTCTTTCTCTGGTTGCAAGCTAAATCCGTCACTCACATGACTACCACATGCCCCTTCCTTAGTATTTTCCTTTTATGTGGCGGCTGGAGAACTTGTAGGAAGTTCAAAATAAATCAACTTCGGTCACATATACCAAAAAACACACACCTCCCAAGGCAATTCTGAAGCCTCAGGCCTAGCCCACTTCACCTTGGGCTACTTTGGACTTATGAGGCACCTCATAATCAGAGGCAGCCCAATATCTCAGAAAGGTATTTTCACAGGTATACTTACCTAATATTTTCCCTTATTTGTGGTGTTTTTGTAGCCCACTGGTGTATATTGCTTTAATGATTCTTCACTTGCTCAGTAAGGCCATAAACCGCCAGTTACCTCAGTGCGAGTAGGATGGTGTCCTGCTTTCTCCTCTCGGCAATTCTCTAAGCCCTTTTAAAAACAGATTAGGAGTGAGGCTTCCCTTAAAGTTTCAAAATGAGTCACGAATTTCCTTGTCCGTTTATACTGTTTTACAGTATATTATAAAAGACTGTAAGTTAGTACAGTATCTGAGTTGCTGTCCCTGTCAGCCATTTTGAGAAGAACGCTGTGGAGCTGAGGTGAAATAAGAAGACCCTTTTCCCTCTTGGGCCAATGAAAGATCAAACTTCACGGAGAGGTTTCTTCAGGGAGAGCCTGAAGAAAACAGACTTCTGAGAGGTTGGTGTTGCATTTTACTGTTTTGTGATTTTTTAAATTTATTTTTTGTAAATTGTATCAAAATTGTCAGCTCTATAAGCTCCCTAATCACATTTTATGTGTGATTAATATGGAATACCGTTCCTCTTGGATACTTAAAAATCATATGCTGTTTGTCTCTGTATAAGTCCTTTATTCTGTGTCCGTCCCGAGTCCCTGAATAAAGAACTCAGAATGTTTATTTTAGAAATAGTAAAAATCTTACAAAAGAGTTACATCTGCCCCTCTGTACAGTTCTGGGTTTCTCTCACAGGCATAAGGCTTCGTCTATTCAGGCAGTAAACATTTCTGGAAATTTGAACTGTGCCCATGCAGAATGCAGAGGAAGTAGTGCTAGAGGACACACTTCCAAAAAGATTTCTTAGCAACCGCTTACACTAAATTCCATGAAGTAGCTCCAAAAGTAGACAGTGCATTAAATGTGTGACTGTACCTAAGATGCCTAGTTTTTTTAATATTAAAAGCAGCCACAGGAAGGCCTGGTCAGGAAGATTTGGAGTTTTAACTATTGGTGCTGATAGCAGCTTCTCTCGCAGAACAAATAGCTTGGGGGGATTTTTTTTGTCAAGATTGGTGATGGTGGTAGGTTTAAAAACCCCACTCCTTGCATGCTGAGTGGCCCCTCCTCCTCCAAAGTTGTTCTTTTATTTTAAATAACTAGACACATGAAATGCAATTTGATATTTAATGTGCTTTCTAGTTTGGCCCAGTGTTGAAGCAATGTCTTAAAGAAACTGGAATCAACCCACAGTAAAAGACGCTGTGTTCTTAAAACTTTCTGTTCCCTCTACAAACAAACCATTGGGAGATGGAGACAAATCCACAAGAGAACAAGTGTTCTCATGAATTTCTTACTGCATCCCCATGGCAGCAAGCATTCAGTGACTTTGAGACAGGAGTCAAGTCTATCCAGCAGCATCTCGCACCATCTGCTATGATACTGCTGGTTCTGCTTCATTTACGTTGTCTCCTCTGCCTTCCATCTGAGTCCTGATTTTTTCTATTTGACTCTTTCTGCTTGAGTTCATGTTTTAGAAACTGTAACGGTTCCTAGGATCACTTTTTCTGTTTCCTCACACACTTGTTATGGCTTTAATTAAAATTCGATTTTAGAATTTAGCCTCTCACAAACACAGAGATCCCCTAACCATGACAGCTTCCTTTCTATGCCATCTCCTTTTGTTATGGTCAGCAAAGAGTGATTCCATTTCTCAGAACAAGAAAAGCATCAACAATGGGAGAAGGATGAAAGTTGCAAAATAGCCCACAGACAAACTAATGAAGATGTGACGATAGATGCATATAGCAAGTGCATCACATGAAATAATAGCAGTTATCTGATGGAGAAAATAATAATTTCATAAAACTATCATTTTGATTATTCTATTTTCTTTTGAGCCTATGGCCTAGCTAAATTGAAAAGGCCTGTGTCTGCCTACCTTTTACAGCACAGAAACGTAAGTGTTTTCAGGTACAGTGCTTTATATAGCGAATGTCCATTCTGGAACACTGAAAAGATAAAACTGTTAGACTCTATGGTGGCCATTGTATGTATGAAAAGAGCATTGGCTAAGCATGGCAATTGTGATTAATTTTGAATTGTTTTGTGCTTGATAAAAGATGATATTGGGAGACATTTAGTGAACAGGAAAATTAGTCAAAGTTCTAAAAGAAAGACAGTGAAAAATTATTATATGTAATCACATGATATTATGATGAGGGCTGATCCGGAGAGCTAAATGATTTTGATTGGTTTAGGATTGTAATATTTGGTTGCAACTGTTAAGATTGCTGTGATTCTTGTGAAATCAAATCACATATGTAATCTGGAAGTGTTGAAGGAACATTGCTTTGGGTGTGGTTCTTTGCAGTCTTCTTATTACAGTGGTACCTCGGGTTAAGTACTTTGTGTGCAGGTGAAATGCTTGCTTGTTGCATTGGTTTATTAAACTATAATAGAGTAGCTGGAAAGCAGCCATAGTCTAGCATCCAAAGAGCTATTTTAGAGTAGCTTGTGTTCAGTGGAATTTGATGAGCAGACACTCCCATGCTATATTACAAACTTTTTGGAACTCCTCTAGATTTGCATGCTGTAGTTAAGGAAACACATCCAAAATACTCTTGGGAATTTGGATGTAGTTAATCTGCTTTGGATCTTGAACATAGACTGTAATCCAAAACATAGGCATAAATTTTACTGCATATGAAAAGAAGATGCTTCAAAGCAGACTGATAATCTATCTTGATTATGATGATGTCAAGAGTTCTAATTCTCCTTCAAGATCCAGCTTTAGGGTTTTTATTATGTGCATCATTATTTATTTCTAATGACCCTCAAATGGAACAGAGAATCTTATTAATTGTCAAGATAATCTATATAAGATTTCCTTTTGTTGCTTCTGTTATATTGGCTAATCATTAAGCCATTTGTGGGAGCATTAAAAAGGGAACATAAACATTATTCTTATTTCTCCTCTTAAGTGTCACATTTACATGTTTTCGGGTTTTCACTTTGTTTCTGCTAAACTGGCAACTAATGTATGTTAAGCCCATGGTCTACCTATACTTGATAGAAATCATTAGCTTTCAATTAGATATGCACATAATTATATGTTCCAACTTATGGACCTGTACGTTCGCATGCATTTATGGTATAATTAGCACTTCTGGCATATTTGTAGAAAGAGAGAGCATTTGATACAAGCTATAACAGGACGCTCTGGCACAGAAAGGGTCTCTCTCCCTTAATGAGGCTTGCTGTGCTGTTTTCCCTTAGGGAAAGATTCTTTAAGAAATACCAGCATATTTTATCCATTCTTTTGGTGGTTTCTAATGTTTCCTGTTAGGGGTACTGAACAACCAATGTACTAGGTACTGCAAAGTAAAAATAAATAAATACACAGTTGTCAAAATTACACAGTTGTCTACATAGAACTGGAGTAGAGGACACAGATTGACAGCCATTTAGGGCCTCCTGTCAACCAGGAGTCAACCAGAAGTGTTAACTTGTGGGTGAACATATCAGAGAACACAGCGATTTTTCAAACAGCTCTTTATTTGTAAGCTGGAGCAGAACTGAACAGCAAACAGCTCAGCCGGCCTGCTTTTATAGGCAGCCAGCTGTCAACATTGTAGCAACAACAACCTGCCTAAAGTAACTGATGTGGACCTGAGTGAAAACTACAGTGGTACCTTGGGTTACATACGCTTCAGGTTACATACACTTCAGGTTACAGACTCCGCTAACCCAGAAATAGTGCTCCAGGTTAAGAACTTTGCTTCAGGATGAGAACAGAAATCGTGCAGCGGCGGCAGCAGGAGGCCCCATTAGCTAAAGTGGTGCTTCAGGTTAAGAGCAGTTTCAGGTTAAGAACAGACCTCCAGAACGAATTAGGTACTTAAACCGAGGTACCACTGTATATACACGATACTCCTGGTGGCCAGGGTGAGAACTTCAATACATAACAAGAAGGTCATGGAGAAACAGTAATTGGGTAGATTAACGTAGTGGGACTTCAAGAGGACCTGGAATCTGGTAAAGAGTATTAGAGAGCACAGGATAGCATGATAGAAGGCCAGAAACAGGAGGGAGGGAGAGACGCAGGAGATTAGCTATCACGGACCAAAGGCACCAGGAAACGTTGAAAGCAGAAATGAGGGAAGATATATTTGTACTTACTTTTGTAATTACCACCAAGTTGTTTCCTCACAAATGGCTCCCATGCTGCTGTGATCATGTATAGATTTTTAAAAATTATTTATTGGGACTCCAGATCATGTGTGAGAGCAGTTCTAAGGGAACCTGGTGCTTGTGTCGGCAGTACTCATAATGCTGACATCTTGCAGAATTCTTTAGTGGCTTTAGCTACAAAATCTATTTTTTTAAAAAAAAATCTAGTTAGATGCAATCTCCAGTACTTCTTAAACTCCCTCATGGAGCTACAATTCCTAGCACCCTTAACAAATTACTGTTTCCAAGATCGGGGGATGACCAACCATGTGCTTTAAATATACAGTGTGTAAGTGGCCACAATAAACTTGTTTTTGTAGCTAGTGATGCAATAACTCCTCCCCCCCAAAATTAGCAAAATTCCTTTTTTACAAGTTCAATTTTCAAATAATTCTAAATTAAAACACCAGAATAAATGTCAGCATTGAAACTTGGGGGGGGGCTGTCTTCTTTACTTCCATTTCTATAGAACTCCAATCACAAAACTGTCAGAGATAGCTTATTAGGTACTTTAAATAGACACTTGATGAATAGCCCACACCCCACAGCGTAATTACAGGCTATATTAAGAAGACAAGGAATTTAAATTGGTATAGCTAAGACTACACACTACAAAATGCCAAATCAAATAAGTCTTTTATTTTGTATGTCTGTCCTGCCTTCTCAGCCTTGCTTCCTCTATTTTCTGTATGGAAAGAAGAGGCAAACTGTGGCCTAGATTCAACTAACACAGCATACTAGTGGAAGCCAGCACCAGAGCTCCTGCTAGAACAGAAGGACTCCCCCCGCCCAGCTCCCCAAATCTGCTCTGGAGGGTTAGGAGACAAGCAGAAATGCTTGTGCTGACGGAACAATAAGAAGAGTGTAACGTTGAATTCCTCCCTATGTTTAAAATCAGAAATCTTCTATCGTCC